TTGGCGTGGATTCGGGTTGGGCGGCGGCGGCAGCAGCGGCAGTGGCATCGGCGTGTGTGGTCTATGGTGTCTTTTCGTTTGATGTGGCTAATTTGGTTAGAGCGTAATAGGCGAAATTTTCAAGAGGTTCGTCATAGTGTTTTGTGGTTTGAGAGTCGTCTTTTTACAGCTTTGTATAGTTACATGTAAGAGAAGTTTGATCCGGATTTGTTTGTCTTGTTAATTTTTTTAGATGATATTATTGGTTAGGAGGTGGTAGGTTCTTTTTGAAGTTTTATATTCTTTGCATCATCTTGATGCTCTTTTGATATAGACTATTTATTTATCAAAAAAAAAATTAGACGGACGTTAGCTATTGGAGCAAATTGAGAAAAAAATTGAAAAGTTAGGGACCAAAGTGGAAAAAAAAACTTTAAAGTAGGAAAACACTGAAACTTATGGGGGCAAAGTGTAATTTACCCTTTTGGTTTTCAAGTATTGACAGATGGACAATATTATTATCTTCATCCAGAATGAAGTGGGCACTATGCTGCAGTTGTCTGCATATACTGAACTATTGGATTGTGTTTTGCTTGAGCTTCTAGTACTAGTTGCCCCCACCTACGAAGTGCTATCAATTCAGAACCTCTTTGGGTCTTTTTTTTTTTTTTTTGGTTTTTTTTGGGGAGGGGTTATCGTTGTAAGTTTATGAATATTTTTGTATATTCGAATGAATTAATGATACAAAGATTACATCACTTATATAGAACTATAATCCCTAAGCCTAAAAAGGAAATACGAATTACACATAATATTTACACAATCACAATTATTCTAAATTCCTAAAATACAATATAGGCAATATATTCTCATATCCCCACTCAAACTCAAGGTGTTTTAGCAGAAAACATTGAGAGTTTTTCAAGAAGAAACCGCAATCGAGCATTGGTGTGAGTCTTGCTAAAGAAGTTAGCTAGTTACAGAGCCGAAGGAACGAAAGGAAGCAAAATAGAGCCAGACTGCAGATGCTGACAGACAAAATGACAATTAATCTCAATGTGCTTCATTTGCTCATGGAAGACAGTGTTATGGGCTATCTGAATAACACTTCAGTTGTCACAAGAGAGAGAGGTCGGAGAGGATTGACGGACGCCCAAGTCAGATAAGAGACTATGAAACCAAACAATTTCAGCAGTTGCATGAGTCATAGCACGATACTCAGCTTCAGCAGTACAATGGGCAATAATAGTTTGTTTCTTGCTTTTCTAAGAAATTAGGGAATCACCAAGAAACATACAAAAACTAAAAGTGGTCTTGCGATCATTAACATCACTAGCCCAATTAGCGTCAACATAAGCAACCAAGTCCAAGGAAAAAGTAGAAGAAAATAGCAAGCCCTAAAAGATAGTACTGTGAAGATAGCGAAGAATCCGAATCAAAGCAGCCCAATGTGTAGAATGAGGAGCAGAAACGAACTGACTAACCACATAAACAGCGTAGGCAAGATCAGGGCGAGTAACTGTCAGATAGACTAACCCACAAGCTCGTGATATAAAATAGGATCATCCAGAGGGGCACCATCAGTAGTGTTGAGCTTCACATTAAGCTCAATCGGGTTATCAAAAAGCTTAGTATCAGTAAGAACGGCACTGTGAATAACCTCATTGGCATACTTGGCTTGAGACAAAAAGTAGCCATTGGGAGAATAAGCCTACCTCAATACTAAGAAAATACCCCAAGGGGCTCAGATCTTTCATTTCGAAGGTGTAGAAGAGATGCTGCTTGACCTCAGAGATAGCAGAAAAGTCAGAGCTAGTGATGATATCATCCACGTACAGTAAAAGGGCAACAAAACCAGCAGAGGTGTGGAGGAGAAACAAGGCAGAGTCTTGGGCACAAGGATGAAACCCAAGCTCAGTAACATCTATCTGAAAGCGATCATACCAAGCACGAGGAGATTGCTTCAAACCATACAGAGCACGCCGAAGTCGATAAACTTGACCAGAAGATTGGGGAAGGCCAGGGGGAGGACGCATGTAAACCTCCTTAGTTAGATGACCATTAAGAAAAGCATTTTTAACATCTGTCTGATTTTTTTTTTTGGATAAATATTCTTAACATCCATATGATAAAGAGGCCAATGACGAACAACAACGATAGAGATTGAAGTGTGGACAGTAGTCATCTTGGCAATAGGGGTAAAGGTCTCCTTATAATCAATATCATATTCTAGGGAGAAACTTTTAGCGACCAGGTGAACTTTGTAGCAATCGAGAGAACCATCAGAATGAGTCTTGACTTTATAGACCTATTTGCAACAAACCAAATTATTGCCAGCAGTTAAAGGAACTAACTCCCAAGTAGTAGTCTTTTGCAATGCAGATGACTTCTCCTTAATAGCTTGAATCCAATTAGGATCTGGATAGGCCTCTTTCTAAGACAGGGGTTTTGAAAAAGAGTGAATACTAGACAAAAAAGTGCAGTATGAAGGGGGAAAAACATGTGTTAGCAAAATCAAGTTTGACTAGCTGTTTACGGTTACAAAAGGGATACTTACGGTTGGCAAGATCAGAGTTGTTAGAAGTAGAAGGGGTAACAGTAGGGGCAGAGACCACTGGTGGAGGAAGAGCATTGCAATGAGAACAGGCTAACAACGGAGGAGGAGGAGGAGGAGGAGAATTAGAAGGAGCAAGAGGGGGTGCAGGAGGAGAAAAAGGAACAAGCTCATGAGAAACAGTAGAGATGTACTCATTAAGAGAGACCTCAGAGGGAAATGGATCAATGTGAACCAAGTCATCTTTAGAAACCAGAGCAGTGATAGGAGGAAGATGAAAGTAAGACAGATGTTCGAGAAAGGCAACACGGCAGGAGACATAAAGGTGACAAGAAACAAGGTCGTAATAGCGATAGCCTTTTTGAGTAAGACTGTAATCCAAAAAGACACACAGGACAGACCGAGCATTAAGTTTGGTCCTATCTTTGCGGGGAAGAAGTACAAAGTAGACCCAAAAAACACGGAGGGAATAATTAGGAAGTTGAGAAAACAAAGCCTTATAAGGAGACCGACCAGAGAGAAGGGGAGTACGCATACGATTGAGAAGAAAAGCAGCAGTAAGAATTGCTTCTTAAAATGGAGTTGGAATAGAGGCAGAGAGAAGAAGAGTTCTAGCGGTTTCAAGGAAATGACGGTGTTTACGCTTAGCTCGACCATTTTGAGCGGATGTATCATCCCCAAGGTGGTCTAATATTCACAAAACTCAGTTTTAAAATATTCCCTACCAAAGGTAGAGCGCAACATTTTAATAGTAGACTCAAACTGTGTAGTGACCATAGACTGAATAGTACGATATATCTAGTAGAAGTTAGATTTATGAGTTAATAAGATAAACCCAAATATAGCAAGTGTAATCATCGACAAAAGAAACATAGTAAGCAAAATCCCTTTTAGTGAGAACAGAATAAGGTCTCCATACATCAGTATGCACAAGAGAAAATGGGGTAACAGAAATAGAAGTACTTTTATTAAATGGTAATGTTATCATTTTGGCAAGTTTACACCCTTGACATTCGGTAATTTGACTAGGAGAGACTTTACCTAACAATCCTGATTGAGCTAACGACCATAAACGGTCAATAGACAAATGATCGAATCTAAAATGCTACAGATAAAAAAGACTCAACTGAAAATCTAACTGAAAAGATGAAAAAGCAATTGGAGAGGTGGACAAAAAGAGATGCAAGCTTTCCACTACATAGAGGTCCCAAACTCTACGACTAGTCCCAATTTGCTTCTTGGACTGTTGATCCTGCACAGAACAGACAGAAGAAGAAAAGATAACATCATAACTAGAAATATCAAGCTGACTAATAGAGAGTAAACTAACAGATAGTTGTGGAACTTAAATGGTAGATGGTATAGTGACAGCAAACATAGTAGAGGGTAGAACAGACCCAACAGATAAGATAGGCATACCCAAGGTTCTGAAAAGCGGTTGCGGTCGCCATAACGGTGGTGGTGACGCAGTTGCAGTTGCGGTTGCGGGGTGTAAAGGCCGTAATGTAACGGTTGCGGTAATCGGAACTGTGAATTTTTTTTATTTTTCGCACAATTTTAAAAAAACTTACCGATACACGTCTTTTTTTCCCATAATCATATTTATTGGGTTTTAAAATAAATATTGATCAATTTTTGTAAATTTTTAAATATGATCCAATATATTTTATATTTTTAAATCACTATAAACCGAGGTTTTTACATTTTATTTTAATAATTAATGACTTTATATGTCCTAAATCCATATTATGCTTGTGGCAACAAATTTTTTTTTTATTGGACTTATTGGACTTTGATGTATAAAATTATTTTTTTAATTATTATATTTGTAGAAGCATATTCAACTTTTAATTTGAATAGTTTTAAAAAATAAATTATACATGCTAATGTAATCATATAAAAATTAAAAAATAAATTATAAAGAAATTTTTTTTGTTTGGGTTTGGATCACTTGAATATTCATTCTCTTTTTGAATAATTAGTAAATAAAAATAAAATAAACTAATCAAAAAAAATTGACATGTATAAAAAAATTTATTAATATATAATTATAGGTGTTATGTTTTCTAGATATTTTACAAAAAAAATCAATCACTAAACAATGACAAAAGTACAAGAATAAATAATAGCCTATATATATATAAATAGATAATGACCACACTTATTATTATTATTATTATTTTCAAACAATATATATAGATAGACGCATACAAACAAAATGGTTGAGGGATAACAGCTGAATAGAATAGTATAGGTCTTACAGCTTTAACAAATCAATAACATGTTCATCATCTTCTCTATTTCTTACTCCTCCATCTTCCCTTTTCATCTTTCCTTCCCTCTCTCTCCCTCTTCCCCCATTTTCAGTTTTTTTTTGTTTTTTTTCGAAAGAAGCAGTTCGGAACCGTTACGTAACGGTGCGTAACAGGCCGTTACAGCACCGTTACGACCGCTACGACAGCCGCTACGGCTGACACACCTGTGAATCTCAATCACACTGCAAAAGCGGCCGTAACGGGTGGCGGTAACTACCAAAACCGTTATGTAACGATTGCGGCCGTTTTTTAAAACCTTGGGCATACCAGAACCATTGGTAGTAGTAACAATAATAGGAAAGGGAGAAGAATAACAGTTATGAAGTAAGGAGAGATGGGGAGTCATATGATGAGAAGCACCAGAGTTAAAAATCCAAGCTGAAGGGGAAATACCTGACGAAGAGCCATGCAAACCTGAATGAAGAGAGGTGAGGGCGGAAGCAGAAGAGGATGGTTAGGAGGTAGACAAGATACGCTGAAGCTGAGCAATCTAAGCACTCAAGGAAGTCAAGTCAAGATCTGGAGCCAGAGCAGATGTAGTATAAGCGGCTGGAGACCGAATGATACTTTGAGTAGGAGCTCGGAATTGTGACTGAAACAGCTGAGAAGACGCATGTCCTTTCTTGGGATAATTGTACTTCTAATGGCCTTTTTGATGGTAGAAAGCACACTCATCTGAAGTCAAGGGCCCTTTCTTGGGTTTTGTAGTGGCTTGAAGCTGAGGAGGTGGGGTTGATAGTAGTGGGGGTTGGGTAGGAGCCAAGAAGACAGATGGAGACAGAGTCTGACTGGCTGTCTTAAGGCGGGTTTCCTCGAAGAGGAGTTCACGAACAATAGCATCCACAGAAGGAAGAGGAGACAAATGAAGGCTGCCACCACGAATAGCCTCGTACCAACGGGAGAGAGCCGTTAAGACCTGCACTAAATGACCCTCCTCCCGAAATTGAATATAGGCATCGAGTACCTTAAGACCAGACGGTTCCATGAAAGCAAGCTAATCCCAAAGTCCCGTCATCTCAATGTAGAGATCTTGAATAGACTGATCTCCCTGACGAGCACTCTGAATGGCTGTTTCCATCTCATACTGTTTGGCATAGTGGGATTGCTGATAAACCTCTTGTAAATAGTCCCATACCTTCTTAGCAGTAGTTTATTTGGTAAACATCATCCAAATACGATCATTCACAGCATTATGAAACCAAGTCAGAACTTAGGCATTATCACAATCCCAAGTGTCACAAGCAGCCTGATATTCATCTTGTTTGGGATCTGATGGATGAAAAACAGAACCAGAAACATATTTCCATTTTTTTCGACCAAGCAATTTTTTTTCCATAACACTAGACCAATAAGCATAATTGGCTCCAATAAGTTTGCAAGTGATAGAATGAATCTTATTATCTGACATGGTGCCAATATGTAAATAAAAACTGTAAGGGCCTCAATGAAAAATATAATAACCAGAGGAGGTCAAAATATAAGACCTAAGAGAAATGGAAGAGGAACCAGAGAGAGAAAATGAGCCACGAGTAGTCGGAGCACTGAGATGAAGGGACCAAATAGGTTGCTAACCAATGAGAGAGGTAGGAGTCAGCGACGGCAAGCCGGAGAGAGAACAACGAGCAAAAAGCAAAGTCGACTTCGACTTTTAGATTCAAGGTTGAAGTTGTGAAGCAAAACAAATGCAAGTTAACGAGTCACAACTTTGATCACACCAGAATGAGTCGATTGAACTAGGAGAGGGATGAAGCAGGGCAACTAGGGTTTCAAACTAGACTCGTGAACCACAGAGAGATATTTGCAAAAAATCAGAGGCCTTCTAGGGTTTCGAACTAGACTTGCGACTTCTGAGATGGGTCATGAGTTTCAGAGATGCGAACAAAGGTCCGATTCAGAGAGGAGCTCTGATACCATGTATGTTTCTGCATATTTCTGTATATTCGAATGAATCAATGATACAAAGATTACATCACTTGTATAGAACTCTAATCCCTAAGACAAAAAAGGAAATACGAATTACGATAATATTTACACAATCACAATCATTCTAAATTCCTAAAATACAATATAGGCAATATATTCTCATAATCGTATCATTGAAAACCAGTGCTTGAAAGCATAGTTGTCAAATCGGGATTCGAATCGTGAATCGAAATGGCCATGTTCTGAATCGCGAAGCGAATCGAATCAAAGCAAATCGAATCGTGAATTGTAAAGATTTAGTTACTTTTTCTAAATTACATTAAAAAACATATTTATACACTTAGATATTATAAATATGAAATATTTAAAGTTAAAGTAATGTAAATGTTATTTTACATGGTGATTACGTGGTCTAACTAGGTAAGACGCTTCTATGGCAAGAGATGTGGGTCCAAGTCCTCTTCTCTTCCAATAATCTATCGGCACCCACATAGGCCGATGCACTATTGGTTACCACTTGAACCACATTTTCTTCCCCAATATCATTCACAATGACATCAAGCATCTCAAATAATTTCATAGAATTTTTAACTGCACCGGAGGTGTCTATTGATTTAATGAACACCGTTCCACTTGGACTATTAACAAGGAAATTAGTAAGAGAGCGAGACTTTCCATCGGTCCATCCATCGGACATTATAGTGCAACTTGTCTTCGTCCATTCCTTCCTATACACTTCTAAACTTGCATTCACATGATCAATCTCTTTTTTCAAAAAAGATACTCTCACTTAATGATAACTAGGTGGTTTCAATCTCACACCATACTTACCAACCGACTTCAACATCTTTTTAAACAAGGGACTTTTCACTAAATTAAAAGCCAATGCATGCCCATAAATGACACTACAAATATCTCTAATCATGGGCTCCCTTTGCTTTGCCATTTGATTCAAACTTTGTTGCTTTGCCCACCCTTTTGTGACATATGCATCCATAGTTCCTCCTTTACTTTTCCCCTCAACATTTTTTTCTTCAAAACAATCGACATCTATAATTATGTCTTGTATTTTTCCACTTAACAGTTGTGAAAACATATTCATAATATCTTTAGAAATTTGACTACAGGCACCAAGATTATTATGAGTTCTAGCTAAATGATTTTTCATTCGAATCACCCCATCCCAGTAATCTTTTCCACAATAATTACATCTCAAATGCATTCTATTGTCATCTTTGACACGGGTACAATGGTCCCATGTCGGATCTTGTTTCCTACTTTTTTTTCCTTTTCATATTTTTCTTATCCATCAAAGAAAGCAAAATATTTTTCTAATGTCTCAGCACAGTAGTAGCTTCAATACTACAGTCCACAGTAGACAACAACAATAATAAAGTAATGGAAAAGTTTAGAGTTAATATAGCATTTTATAATACCTATGAGGTTTGTCTGTTAGTAGCTCAAACAAAATTGAAGACCCAAGAAGAGGACAGACTTTAATAAAGCTTTGTGCAAGTTGAAGACAAGGACTATGAAGCATATTCCTGTAGCAAGGGGCCACAAAACAGTGAGAAGAAGGACCATGAGCACTGCATCGAACAGAGAGGAGAGTCTTTCTAGGGTTTTGTCTTTTGGGAATAAAAAGAGACGGCGGGTTAGCTTTGTTGGACTGTCGTTTGGTCTTTGAAGACCGGGCGACCGATTGTCTGCCAAGAAAAAGCAAAAAAATTGGGCCAAAAATTGAATTTTCTTCATTCGGGTCTGAGAAATCTAGGTTGACCTGCGACTGTCATGAGTCATAGGATTCAGCGATTCGTATCGTGAATTGATTGATTCAGCTCCGATTTTGAGCCATTTGCGATTCCATCTACCTGTTCGAATCGATCTCCAAGTGTATCGAACCGAATCATACGATTTGAATCGCGAATCATACGATTCTAACAACAGAGATGGAAATCCTAATCACACATTAGAAACCACCTTGTCTTTATTATTGAGTTAATTCGATGTGAATCTATCACCTGGAACTTACATTGCACTCTATTTGCAAAGGGAAGAAGCAATATGCCACTTCAAACCATTGCGATGTGGCTAATAGCTTATTTCAATTTACTCATTTGGATGTAGATACTAATAACAAGTCCAATCTTGGTTTTCTTTTAGGAAAAATTGCTGAGAAGTCCATTTCTAAGGGGTGTATGGCATCAGGTCCAATAATTGTTTTGTTTTGGTTGTGAGGACATAATTAATGAAATTGTTTTGAAGGATAATTTTTTCCATTTTTTACCCACTACTGCCAGACTACCGGAAAAATTAGTGGAATTGGCCGCCGCCGCTGCCAGCGGCTGGTGGTGGCAGCCAGTGATGGCTGATGGTAGTGGTGGTGATATGGACAAATAGGTGACGTGAACAGATAGGTGGAATGGTGAACAAATAGACAGACAGGTAGGTAGGGGTAGTGGTCTTTCAAATTGTTATTGTCCTTATGCCCCAAAAGAGTAGAGTTTGGTAATATTGCCCTAAAAGTTTAAAAAATGGATTTATGGCCTGAGTGCCCTTTCTTTTACTTAATAGAACAGAAATAAAGAAACATAGATCTATACAGTAACTACCTATTCTGTGAGACCTCTAAGATTTACCATCTCTCATTTCTTTACAAATTATAGAACATATGGAGTTTCGAAAATGGCTAAATATGGCATTCTAACAAAAATATATTATCTTGTGATCCAGGTTACGTGTACCATTTTGCTACAATATAAACATTTTTGCTATCCTATCAGGATCGCATCCATTGTTACAGAAGGGTGATTGTAGGAATAGATGTTAAACATGTTACAGAAGGGTGGTTGTAAGAATGGAAGTTAAATGGGTTCACTGTTTTGAACATACTACACTAAGGGCACTGAACATAAAAAAAAAAAAAATTACACACAAAAGTAGAAGATCACATTTCAATAACAAAAAGGGGCACTATTGAACAAAAGCGTGTTGAGATTAGGAGATAAGACAAGTACGGAAGGTTTATGACAAAGACCTCATTGTATATATTATGACAAGTTACTTTCAAGCTCTGTTGTTAGAATCTTGCGATTCGCGATTTGAATCGTACGATTCGGTTCGATACACCTAGAGATTGATTCAAACAGGTAGATGGAATCACAAATGGCACAAAATCGCAGCCAAATCGATCGATTCACGATATGAATCGCTGAATCATTAAATCGTACGATTCATGACAGTCGCAGGTTGACCCAGATTTCAAGGACCCGAATGAAGAAAATTCAATTTTTGGCCCAATTTTTTTGCTTTTTCTTGGCAGACGATGGGTTGCCTGGTCTTTTAAGACCAAACGGCAGTCCAACAAAGTTGACCTATTGTCTCTTTTTACTCCCAAAAGACAAAACCCTAGAAAAACTCTCCTTTCTGTTCGATGCAGTGCTCGCGGTCCTCCTTCTCACTGTTTGGTGGCCCCTTGCTGTAGGAATATGCTTCGTAGTCCTTCTTCTTGTCTTCAACTTGCACAAAGCTTTATTAAAGTTTGTTCTCTTCTTGGATCTTCAACTTTGTTTGAGCTACTAACAGACAAGCCTCATAGGTATTATAAAATGCTCTATTGACTTTAAACTTTTCCATTACTTTATTGGTGTTGTTGTCTACTGTGGATTGTAGTATTAAAGCTGTTGCTGTGCTGGGACATTAGAAAAATATTTTGCTTTCTTTGATGGATAAGAAAATATGAAAAGGAAAAAAAAAAGTGGGAAACAAGATCCGACATGGGACCATTGTACCCGTGTCAAAGATAGCAATAGAATACATTTGAGATGTAATTATTTTGGAAAAGATTACTAGGGTGGGGTGATTCGAATGAAAAATCATTTAGCCGGAACTCATGATAATGTCGGTGCTTGTAGTCAGGTTTTTGAAGATATTATGAATATGTTTTCACAACTGTTAAGTGGAAAAAAACCAAACAATATTATAGATGTTGATTGTTTTGAAGAAAGAAATGTTGAGGGGAAATGTAAAGGGGAACTATGGATGCATATGTCACAAAGGGGAGGGCAAAGCAACAAAGTTTGAATCAAATGGTAAAGCAAAGGGAGCCCATGATTAGAGATATTTGTAGAGTCATTTATGGGCATGCATTGGCTTTTAATTTAGTGAAAAGTCCCTTGTTTAAAAAGATGTTGAAGTCGGTTGGTGAGTATGGTGTGGGATTGAAACAACCTAGTTATCATGAAGTGAGAGTATCTTTTTTGAAAAAAGAGGTTGATCATGTGAATGCAAGTTTAGAAGTGTATAGGAAGGAATGGAAGAAGATGGGTTGCACTATAATGTCCAATGGATGGACCGATGGAAAGTCTCGCTCTCTTACCTAATATCCTTGTTAATAGTCCAAGTGGAACGCTGTTTATTAAATCAATAGATACCTCCGGTGCAATTAAAAATTCTATGAAATTATTTGATATGCTTGATGACATTGTGAATGAAATTGAGGAAGAAAATGTGGTTCAAGTGGTAACCGATAGTGCGTCGGCCTATGTGGGTGCCGGTAGACTATTGGAAGAGAAGAGGACTAAATTGTTTTGGTCTCCATGTGCAGCACATTGCCTTGACTTAATGTTAAGTGACATAGGTGAGTTGACGGTTTTCAAAGATACATTAATTAAAGCCAAGGAAATCGCTGTGTACATTTATAGGCATGCTTGGGTGCTTGATTTGTTCAGAAAATTTACAAAGAATAGGGAGTTGACAAGACCTGCGGTTACTAGATTTGCCACCGCCTTCCTTACTTTAAAAAGTTTCCAAGATAGAAAGCTCCAACCTAGAGCTATGTTTGCATCAGAAGAGTGGGCTAGAAGCACCTATTCTACATCTGTTAATGCAAAAAAGGCATAAGGAACAATCTTGGGAGATGCTAGATTTTGGAAAGCAATCAAGTATTGCTTGAAGTGTGTGCTCCCTTTGGTGAAAATCTTGAGGCTTGTGGATGGTGATGCAAAGTCGGCAATGGGATTTATTTATGAAGCTATGGATAGAGCGAATGAAGAAATTGCTTCAAACTTGAACCATGTGAGGGGTAGATATAAGCGCATTTGGGAAATTATTGATACTAGATGGGATTTACAACTCCATAGGCCTTTTCATGCGGCGACATATTACCTTAATCCGATGTAAGTTTTTTACTCTTTGTCTAATTACTTGTGTTGTGTGACTTATATACAAAATGTGTAATGGAATTTATTTATGAAGTTATCTTTTTTTCTAGGTTTCATTATCAAGAAAACTTCACTGCGGATACGGAGGTGAAAATTGGTTTATTTAAAACCATTGAGAGGATGTATCCGGATATAGAGGATAGAGTGAAGGTTGATGAGCAATTAGAAAAGTTCAAGAAGGTCGAGGGTATGTGTGGTATGAGCATGGCCATCTTGACAAGGGAAAAGAAACAACCTAGTAAATTTTTTGATTATGAAATTGTATATTCGCAATTTCACAACAATTATGTTGGCATGCATTATTCTCTAACATCTCTTTATTATTTAATTACAGCTCTATGGTGGGAAAGTTATGGAGAAGAGTGCAAAGAGCTTCAAAAGCTAGCTATTAGAGTGCTCAGCCTTACTTGTAGTGCCACCAAGTGTGAGAGAAATTGGAGCGCTTTTGATCGTGTGCACTTGAAGAAAAAAAACTGGTTGGAGCAACAACGGTTGAATGCTTTGGTTTTTGTGAAGTATAACATTCAATTTGAGTTGAGGCAAATTAAGAGACAAGAAAGGGGTCGGATATGGAATCCGATGATGAATGGATTACTGAGAAAGAGGATCCATGTCTACCCGAAGATCATTCATGGATGGACATCCAAGAGTGCTTCGAAGATGATAAAGGAGCAACAAGTAGCAAAAAGAGAAAAACAGGTATAATTCTATATTTTAAATAAGTTAATTTCAAAGATTTGATTTCTATATTTTCACCTTTACTTGCTTATTCATGACCTTATTTATTTTTATTAATGCAGGACCAAGAAATTTAAATGCCGCCGATAGAGGAAAAAGAAAAGTATTTGAAGATGATGATGAAGTTGAATTGATTGAACGTGGAGAAGAGGAAGAGGAAGAGGAAGAGGAAGAAGAGTTTGATGAAATGACTATGGTAGATGATGATGAAGAGGATGACTCTGATATTGACCTTGGAGATGATGAAGATTGAAATGAAGAAATGAAGGCTTTTTGGAATTTTTAACTTTGTCTAATCTAACTTTTGTTTTGTACGGTCTCTTTTTGACACAAGTTACTTTACAAGTATAGATTAGAGTTTTGAAAAGTTCAGAACTTGTTCAGTTGTGAACCTTATTCATGATCATACATTCATAGAATCATATTATAATGAATGTGGATTGCCATGCATATATGATGTGATGTGAATTTACATAAAATATATCATAAATACATAAATATAATATAGGATGATAGATCACGGTGGGGCTTGGACCCACATCTCTTGCCATGGAAGTGTCTTACCTATTTAGATCACGTGATCATCATGTAACATAACATTTTCATTACTTTAAGTCTAAATATTTCATATTTATAATATCTAAGTGTATAAATATGCTTTTTTATGTAATTTAGAAAAAGTACCTGTTCTTTTTTATTTTATAATTTAGAAAAAGTAACTGATTTCCATTTCCATGCATTTTTATGTATAAATATACTTTATGTAATATTTATTCGATTCGCTTCGCGATTCGGTACATGGCATTTCGATTCACGATTCGAATCCTGATTTAACAACTATGATTTCCATAATTCTATATTGTACCCTGAAGATATAACCGTTGAAGTGACACTGTTAATTTAATTGTTTCTTGTCTTGAAACTTTTGGATGACCAGTTAGTTTTTTCCTTTATCATAGGGTTGGTGGCTTTTGAGTAACAAGGTGGTGCTAACAACAGCTGCTGTTATTGCAAATTGCATTGTTTTTCTGATTGGGTAAATGCCTTTCAGCATACTCAAAGTATTCTGATTAAGTTCCTTCTTTTTTTCCTGTCTTCGCAATTTGTTAACTATTTTTTTGGTTTTACTTCACGAATTCTAATGGTGTTTTGTTTGTTTGTTTGTTTTTTTTTTAATAGCGAAGGTATCGAGTTTTAAGAGGTGCTAAAAAGCAGAAGCATGTATTCAAAAAGAACCCCAAAGCACCAATATGGGGTGTGCCTCCAAAAGTAATTGGGGGGAAGTTGCTTGCTTCTGTTTATTGGTAAGGGTTTCATCTAATCAAATTCTTCTCATTCATCTTCCTCTAAAAAAACAATGGAAAGAAGGAATCAAAAAAAAAAAAAAAATGAAAACTGTGAAGCACAGACACGGACACGGGACATGGGACATGGCGATTTCAAAAAAATGGGGACGCGAACACGGCAGGAGACACGGTAGTTATTTATATATATGTTATGTGTTTGCTATGTGGATTAATATTATGTTACCAAACAATCAAAAGTAATAAAAGCTAACATTCATTCAATGTATATATAAAAACCACTACATTTAAACATTATAAACATATTTCCTATAAATTATAAACATTACATAAAGAAAAAATTAAACATTTAATAAAAATAAATTTATAAAGAAAAAAAATTAAATTAAACTAAAATATACAAGATATAGATATCTAATCAGGAAAAAAAGAAAAGAATAAAAAGAAAGAGGGCGAGAGATAGAGAGGCAAAAAGAAGAGAGAGAGAGAGAGAGACGAGAGATAAGAGAGACTTACTAGATCAAGATGAGATGGAGATCGACAGAAACAGGAGCCTCAATGGAGATGGAGATCGCGACTAGAACAACAATGGAGATGGCGATTGCGACTGGAGAGATTGATTGACTGAAAAAGTTCTCGTCTTTCTGTTTTTTTTCCTTCTAATTTAGGATTTAGGTCTTCTCCTCTTGCCGTGTCCCTGATGTGTCCCATACAAAAAAATAATAATAAAATTAAAGGGACAGGCCATACATGTCCCCGGCATGTCCTTGTGTTTGACATTGTCACGGCCCCTATTTTGAAGTATCCGTGCTTCATAGGATGCAATTATCATTACTTATTGATTGTTTATTGGCCAAAGCAACACTACAGGGGTAATTTTTTGTGCCTTGACCCTTGTGAATACTTTCTCAATCAATGTGGCACCTCACATCATTTCCAATTCCAAATTTTGTTAAGCCCTAAATCTCCTCTTTTCCTCCTTAACAGAAGAATGAGGGAGTCTAAGGCTCAATTCTCATTCTGTTAAGGAGGAAAAGAGGAGTTTGGAATTGGAAATGATGTGAGGTGCCACATTGATTGAGAAAGTATTTACTAACTCTGATCATCAATTTAGTAGAAAAACACCAACTCTGATCATCACGCAAAAGGTGATTTCTCCCTAATGTTTAAAATCTGAAGGCAAACAAGCTATCTTGGCATCTTATAAGTTGGTCATTGAAATAATTAGGTAAGGATTCTATCTGACATGGCTAGACATAACCTGATAATTAAACCAGTAATTCATGGAGACAGGCTGTTCTCTGAGAGCTAGAAGTGGGCCACCTTCATTGTTGTATACTGGCAAATGTGCTTTCAAACACTTGGGAGTTTGTGTTTGTCTTTACATTTGTAGTTTGTACAAATATAAAATTTTACTACTTTATGGTGGACTTGGTAAGAGTAACTCCAACACCATTTTGCCTACAAAAGTATACAAAAAGGTACACTCTTGTATTTTGCTTAACCACTACTCCAACAAATTTTTTAGCTGCTCATACAAACTAACTTTACTTATTTTTTTTTAAAAATGCTAATTGCACAAATGAAAAAAAAAATGCAAAGAATTTAGATAAAAAAATGAATAGCAACATTCAATATTTTTATTTCCTGGGAAACAACATTCAATCAATTCAATTTTGTTTTTTACCATATAATCATATATGTACAAGGAAAGCCTATAAACCCCCAAATCAAATAAACACAAAAATAACCTTATAAAATTAGGAGAAGAAACAAGAGCCTCAAAAAGCTTTATAAAGGAAAACAATAGTAAAACATATTGTAGAGGGGTAGAATTTAAATGGTTAACCTAATCATGAGATTTGCCTTTATTAGGCAAATAAGTTTCATTAAATGAACATGGGTCAAAACCCAAGGGAAGTGGCCCAACCATAAAGCCGAACTAGGTCCGACTCGCTGGATTCAAATAGACCATTCGACAACAAAATACCAAAGGGAACCCGCTGAGGCACTACCTGTTGTGGTTTAGTAGTTGAGATGATCTACCTCCATGCTGCCATCTCACTAGAAGGTCATTGCAGCACCGCCTTTGAGATAGTACTTGAAGTACACTTGTCGAGGGAAGAGTAGCTGAGGTGACTACAACCTTCGCAACCATGTTTTGATGCAAGACTTCCCAAGGTGTAGCAGCCTTTGAGGGAGGCCTCCCTTTTGCAAACAAAAACTAATGCTTAGCGCTGATAGCAAGCCCCAAATCATTATTAGCTCAGCGTTGATAGCAAACCCCAACGCTTATTGGTTGGAGCTGATCGCAGGCCCCTGAGATGCTAATATATTGCGGCAACCTCGCGAAGATGGGAGCAAGGTAGCCTGAAAGCAAGGGACTCCCTTTTCATTTACCTAGGTCATGAACCTGCTTTGGCCGCACATGTAGGGTCATGGAAGCCTCCTTGGGCTTGGTATGAGGCGTAACCCTTACTGTGGCCCACGTCCTGGGAAGCTGGGGAGTATATGGTTAGGTAGCTAAGGGTGGAGGAGTCACTGAGGTAGACACAAGTATGGCTAATAGCAAGTCATAAGCCTTGAGAATGCATGTCTTAGGAAACTGAATTGAAAAGGCCGGTGCCGCAACAACGACACCTGCTGAGATTTGTACAAAAAAGGTATATGTTGAGGCTCGTGCCAAACAAATAGTACAGTGGCACTTGTTGAGGTTTTGTGCCAAACATATAGTACATGTCAAGGGACACATGTCTACCAACGCCTATTGGTTCATAACAGAATATCCTGCAACACGTGTCGCTGCACTGTTTGGCCACTTGGTATATTCTGATACCAAAGAAAAGCCTATAAATATGACCCATTTTCCAAGGTCAAGAGAGAGCTTCTTGGGAATTGGAAGGATATGCTTCCCATTTGCACTGCCTCATTCTTGGGTGATTATTCGGTAGTTTGGAATACGGCCACGTGGTGCTTCAGGGTAGTATGATTGGTGGAGAAGGTGGAGTGTTGATTATTTGTGTTGAGTGATTGAGGAACATGAGGGGGCATAATCAAAGAGTATAGTCACGTGGTACTCCGGGAATATTGTATAATTTTCCCACATTCTTGCCCCGAATCACTTGCTTCACCCTCACCCGGCTATTTACTCTCCAACCTTCCCAAATTATTGATCCATTAACATAGCTTTGCCTCTCTAAGTAGTATTATTATTATTGTTCATTTTGGACCCTCTACACATATCAAACATCTTCTTAGCATTCCAGAGGCCACCACAACACTTTTTCTTCACCAAGAAATCAAAGAAAGTGGGTTTTACAGTGAATAATCACTTGGGATATAGTAAGAACATGACATATTTATAACCCCTGCCACAATCATCTGCAACCAGGTACAAAACTCTCACTCTCTCATCCTTCCTCTATCTTCAAATCGCTGTTTCTATATATAGGCCCCGCCACAATGTTGTGCAACAAAGTATGAAACTTTCACTTTCTCTCCCTTCCTCTCTCCTCAAATCACACTCTTGATCTCTCTCTCTATGTATATGTATGCTCTATTCTTGCAATAACCCAAATCGTTTCTACCTATAATTTTTCATGTGGATTTTGTTTCGGTAATTGACTATTCCCACTTTCTTAATTTCTTGGTAGATAGTGTTGTCATGGTGGCCTCTGGAATCGACAAAATGTTTGTTGATATGCTTTAGTGTTGTTTTCTTTTAGAAAGATAATTTTTGATGCTCTTGTTTCCCCCCCTAATTTTATAAGATTATTTTTGCGTTTATTTGATTTTGGGGTTTCTAGGCTTCACTTGTACATATATGATTATATGGTACGAAACAAAATGCATTTTTATTTTTTATTGAATTGATTGGATGTTGTTTTCCAGGAAACAAAAATATTGAATGATGCTGTTTCATTTTTTATCTAATTTCTTTGCATTTTTTTCCCATTGTGCAATTAGCATTTTTTTTTTTTTTTTCGGTTGTAAATCAGTTGAGTTAGGCAGTCATATATACACATACATAGAAAGAGTGATTTGAAGAAAGAGGAAGGGAGAGAGTGAGAGTTTCATACCAGGTTGCAGATTGTAATGGAGATTGTGGCGAGGGTTACAAACTTCAAGGCTTATGTATGTTTTTCCTAGCCCTCAAAGACTGTATATCTAGCCACCGTGAATGGCGTGAGGCAATATGGATCATCCTTTGCCTAGCCTATTGAAGTTGGGATGAGATTAGGTAAAATGTGTAAATAGCTCAAAATGGTTCTTCCATTGGAGATGCTCTAACAAA